CACGGAGCTGCACCACTGCAGGGAGCAGGTGCAGACCACGGTCCCTCTGTAGCCTTTCTAGAAATTGCGTTTCTTCCTCTCGCCTTCCATCCCAGTCCTCCTGTGCCCAGGAACAAGATCAGCCAAGCAGGGCCTCCTGCCAAAACTGACTTTCCCTCCTGGGCGAGACAGTGAGTGCTCAGTCACCCTCCCGCCAAGGACAGGTGACAGGTGAAGTGTCTCCTAGGCAAAATCTGCCTGTCAGTGCGTAGGTCTTGAAAGATCATCGCATACAACGAGAACACCAAAAACTAAAAATAAAAATTTCATGTCTACTGGGTTATACGGAGCTCACATGGGGTGGGGTAGGGAATGGTGACAGTGCTTTGGGAATAAGTATTTGAATTTTATTTTTTTATTTGAAATGTCACATTCAGTATAATGGCAGCGTACATATCTATCTGAAAACACAGGTCCTTCTCAGTCAATCTCTCTACCTATTTGATAGCAGAAAAATAAGAAAATTACTTTGTGTGTGTGTGTACATGTAAGTATTTCCTCAAAATCAAAAAGGTGAGATAAACTTCTATAGTTTGGGGTTTTATATAAAACTAGGAGAGGAGAGTACGCAGTACAATGTTTTATCTTATTCACTGTTAGCAATCATATAATCGTATGAAATCAAACTAAATCCTAAGTACTCTCAGAATATCCCCGCACCTTCTAGAAACTTCTCAAGCCACAACCTCTCTCCAAAGAAGGGGCACACTTGTCCAAGCTTCCAGCCAGAGCTTGGGCCAGGCTACTCGCGGCCCAAGAAACCAACACGACTGCAGAGAGGGTCACAGGTAGCTCAGAATAATATTTTCCTTTGGAGCACTTAGCTACAACCCATATTTGATGGGAGTCTTCTTAAAATCAGGTGTGTTGCATGTGCCTTCCGCCCCCAAAGACAGAGCCTTTTGGAAACAAATGTATCCCAGCTCACTAAGTCAGGAGAAAATCCGTCCCAGTTTTAGAAATTCAATTTCGTCTGGGTAAGCCTCCAAGCTCTGAAAGTAAGCTCTATCAGGAGCTGTATTATTCATAAATCTCCCCTCACGTTGGAAGTCTCCCAGCTACCACTCTCCCTCCTCCCAGTATTTTTCTACTTTCGTGAGTCAATAAAGAAATTTAACTCTTGCAGTCTCTCTGAATATCCCACATCAAGATACGGATCAAGACATACAGCAACATGATCGTTTCGCAAAAACATCTTTTGGTTGTGTCCAACCTGGTAATTTGTGGTGAATAATCTAGATTCAGATGGTCGGGTCTGTATTTATAAGCATGATTGAATTTAATTAAGCCAGGTAAACCAGATGACGAGATTTGTAACTAGAGCTATAAACTATTGTTTCGCTCAAGTAGAAAGCTGTATCAAGAAACAAATGAAATCCTTGTCCTAGCTAATCAGGTAACAAAGGACGTTGTTCATGTAGGCAACGAAAGTCTCTGAACCATCCAGATGCTGATAAATTTATTTTTTTAATTTAAAAAAAATTTAACGTTAATATTTTTGGAAAATGTATCTTCTTACGGCAGATGCTACCACAAAGTCTATAGCCAGGGACATCTGGTTCGCTGGCTTGTGTGTACAGAGGTTGGCGTCTTGGGGGAATGAGGACTTCAGGGACATTCTGGATGGTACAGGGTGCATATATATCGTATTTTACATCAATAAACACCGTGACAGCCACAACAACAGAAATAAATCTTGGGATTGCAAGAAACCCAATTCCTAGCCAATGGCAATCCCAAGATAATATTTAATGTAACAAAATTTCAGAAGAGCCCAACAATTTTAAGTACCTTCAATGTGAAGTTTTAACATACCTGACTTGGGTCTTTTGTGATCCAAATAACTTCAAGGCACTCCCACTGTCCTTATTGCTTTTATGTTGAAAGGAGACCTCGACTAAATTTGTGATATTTGGAATGAGAACACTCTGCTTCATGGGGACAATTAATGAGATGTGGGAACACTCATTTTATGATTAAGTGACTACCATCCAAATCTCATAGCAGTTTGATGGTTTATACTTCATATTTCTATTCTCGGGGGTCCTGGCTCCTTCAACACGTGTAGACAGCTTCATTTGATATTAACAGGAAATATACATTACCATAATAGATCTCCCTAGATGCCTGGCATGACAGAGTAAAATAATTTGAATTTCAGTGAAATATAATATTAGGGTAAGAGAGAAATTCCAACATGATCTCCACATGTCAGGAATTTAAGAATTTAAAAACATTTTAAGGTTCGACCCTGGATTTCGTTTTATTTTTGGGGAAAATGGTCTTTTGTCTATTCTATAAGTTTTTTACCCTAATCTTCCTTGGGCTGTTCTGGCTTTCATCTTTGCTCATTTTTACAGGCAAAAGCACAAACCTCTAATATTAATAATCAAGGAGTTAATGTTACCAAATACATAGAAGCAGGTCTTACCTTGGACAATTTAAATATAGCATGTTACCAATAATTGCTGATTTATAACAGTTGCCATTAATCTTATAAACTTCAAATAATCTTACTACTTTCCTCTTTTCTACTCAGAAATAAATATCTTTTAATACCTAGAATTATATAATGAAATGGCTTATTCATAGCATCTTGAATTTTTCCATACAGTTACTTTTTATATCCCCATAAAAGACTGTTTCCACCGGTGTGGACCAGTTTTCAGCTGAAAGAACTTCTGTGCCTTTGAAGGTCAGAAGAAGCTACGCATCCTCTGTAAACGGCGTATTTCCGTTCGTGCAAATTCACTGAGCACCACCAGGCAGCTTTGAAGGACCCCACCAGGATGGCCAGGAACAGGGGTGGAGGGTTGTCAGAGGCATCAAGCTCATGAGACCTAGACCTGGTTCTGGCACCAGCTTGCCTGATCTTTTGAGGCTTGGCAGGCTTTTTCCCCCAGGGCATTGGACACGTTTACCTTGCGCTATGGGCAGTTAGTTTCTTCCAAAGCGGGGGGACCAAAGGGGGACCCTAGGGTACCCAACTCCTTTTGAGGGAGCCCAAACAGATCAAGAAACGGTTTTGGGATTTAAAAGGACAATTTTTCATCATTCATTCAATCATCATTATAAAAAGATATAGTTTGATCTTAAAAGGTACCATTTGCTTTCTTTAGCCCCATTCTCTCACGAGCGCACAGTGGAATTTTCCGTAGGCTACGCGGCAACAGACTGGGTGGGGCAGCAGATAAGAAAACCCACCCGGCATCTGTGAAGCCAGGCATCCCAGAGATCCGCAAAAATGCAAGTTACCCCTCTTGCTAAAATAGTTTTCTGTTTTGGAAAATGTCATTACTTTTCATAAAAAAAAAAAAAATTTGGTCACTATGGTTAAACATAGTGTAGATGTATTTCTTTATTCTTAATGAGAGGATAAGCAAGCCTTTCTTAGACCTCTCCACTTTCATTTCCAATACGGGAACCCTCAGGAGACAGAACCAACATAAACGAAGTTCTCTGGGGTCTTCGGGAATTTTTGAGAGTGGAAAGGAGTTGTGCGGGCGAAGAGCTGGAGAACCGCCGCAGTACGGGATCTCTGAGAAGGATTTCGACTGTACAACTCCATGATTCTAAGGGTGTGAGGTTCCGCGGAAACGCGCTGTGAATGTACACACCAGGAAGATGGGTGGTGGCCCCCAGCGCCCTGCACGGGGACACTGCCCCGTGCACGCAGTCACCCGCCTTGTTCAGGCAGCTATAACTTTGCTCCTCCCCTTTAAGCCCCACCCTTTGCTCCCTCTTCTGCTCTCTGACCCCCCTGCCACACTGCACACCCACCCCAACTCACACACGGGGCCGGGAAAAGCTCCATCCGGCCCCTGAAACACCTTGTTCCCTCCCCCCGCTCCCAGCTCCGATCGGGACATGGTAGGTCACCAACCTCTCTTCTTACTGATACGAGGACCCCTCTACCCTAGGGCTCACCGCACTGACCCTGCCCTAAAGTATGGCCTGGAATGGGCAGGAGATGCAGAGGAACATCCTTGCTCTCGAGTCTTGCTCAGGCCCCAGCTCAGACTCACTACAGAGGTGCCCCAGTGGCTTTCAGGCCCCTAAGGAATGGTGACAGGTGGGATTTGAGGTTGGCATGACCCACAGTTTGATTGGCAGGCACCAGCACACATTCCATTCCATTGGAAGCAAGAGCAGTTTTGCACAAGAGAAGAGTTCCATCTGAGTTAACACAAACTTAGAACACCCGCAGTCTGACCTCACCAGAGCTGTCCTGTAGCCGTCAGTGCATACAGCTGGCGACTGTTTGTTGCTACGCTTTGTCCTCCATGGCAACTGCTAACACGAGGGGCCTGGGGTTTAAACCGGCTCTGTTTCCTTCAGCATCTGTGTTCTTCCCATGCGAGGCCACATCTCGGCCCCAACACCAATCCTGTATCCAGACCCATAAAAACAGGACGGTCGACCCTACGATTTAGGGCCAGAGAGGCAGGAGGCGATGCCCCGTCACAGCCAGCAGTTATGTGTGCTGGGGCATTGCCAGCCGCGACACCCGCTGACCCGGCACCCCACTGGGGCCAGCGCTGCCTTGTGCGTGCTCCGGAAGGCTGAGGCGAATTTTTCAACACCCTTTCGGGAGTCGAGCACTTCACAGTTTTCAAAGCACTTATCTCATTTGATCTCATTTTATCCTCACAACAACTTGGATGATTCTCGCCAACCCTAATGAAGGAAGCAGAGAACTATATTTGCATTGTAATTAGCATGTTGCCCAAAATGGGAGTCCCTCCTCTGGGAGGGAAACTGCTCTTATCGCTGCGTTTAGCTAGCTCGGTTTTCTTTGTGAAACCAGCCCCGGGTGCTCCCTGAGAATTGCTGAACTCCGCTGCAAACCGAAGCACGGACGTACACAGTAAGCAGATCGGGACGGAAGGCAGGACCCAGCCCTGTCTCGTGCCCAGGGCTCAGAGGGGAAAAACGTGGCGGGACTAGTCACGTCCTCTTACCGTTTTCGCCAGACGTCTTGTCTTTTCCATTGGTTGCCCCGGCACCTTGTCGCTAAAGACATAAAAAAAAAAGAGAGAAAGAAATTGTTACCAGGTATATCCGGGATTATTGTTGTCCCTTTCATTGTTGTAAATATCTCTTGCATTGTACTGAGTTGCATGCTACTTTAGCTCAGATGGTTAAAGCATCATGCTCATGAGACCAGGAAGGACCAACCAAGGCAAGCAGCTACTGCAGTCCCATAGAATCACCTTCCCTGGTCC